TTGTTTTTTCTTTCAGCACTCATGTAATGATGGCAGGCTAATATTAGATTGCATAAATAGTAAACACTCAGACTCTCCACAACTCTTGATATTATGGAAGAGTAAACTGGAAACCAGAGACATTAAATCTCCTGCCCAGGGCTCTGTTATCTAGAATTTGGGAATGGTGAGATTTAAAAATCTGTGCCTACAGCTGGGGATGGTGGGTCATGCCTGTGATTCCAGCACTAGGCAGGCGGAGGCAGGAGAATCATGGTGAATTCGAGACCATTCTGGGCTACAAAGTGAGCTAAAAGCCAGCCTGAACTGCAGAGTGAGACCTTATCTCAAAAAGACCAAAAAAAAAAAAAAAAAAAATTGTTTCTAGAAGATTACATATTATTATTGAAAAAAAAATACTGTTTTAACTCAATCTCTCCCTTATTCTTTAAAAAAATTATTTAGTTATTTCTTATGTTTGTTTTAATTAAGGGGAAAAATTTAAAAAAATTAGGATATATAATAGTAACTCTTTTTGATTTCCTATTAACTTGTTTTGAAGTCCTGTAATACTCCCACGATCTTGTTTTGACTGATTAGACTCTGTTCTATTCTGTATGATAGTATCAAGTTTGAGGGTATAGGCAACTGCTTTGAAGGCAATAAGATTCACTAAGATGCCCATTCTGGTTTGACTATTGTCCCTTCTGGAAGTCCTGTAATGTTTACAATGCCTAAGTTTTATTGGTCTTGTTCTCTACTGTTTTGTTCAACTTTATAATATCTAATGAGATAGACAATTCTTTTTAAGGAAACAAGAGACAACGTTGATAACCATTGTTGATAACCTTGTACTCTGTTCTACATCATGTGCTATGTCTATCCTTGGTTTTCACTGACAGCTTTGTTTTGCCATATTTGACTTTATTCTCTCCCCCCCCAAAAAGTAATAAGAACTAAGGAGTAATAAAATCCAAAATGTGTAAATTTTGTTGTAAAAAAGAGAGGGGGAAAAAAAAAGAGCTCTAATGGATATAACAGCAAGTGTGTTTAGGGGTGTTAAATAGCTGACTATATTAATGTTTTTGGATCATTGAACACAGCTGTTTGCTGTGAATGTCCACTTTGTATTCTTTGATACTGTGATTTGAGCAACTATTTCCAAGATGATAATATGTAATCTATTAACAGGTGATTTCTTACTGTTACGTTTTTTTTTTTTTTGTAGTTCTGTATTATGTGTACCCTTACACCGCTTTGTTTTGTTTTGTGTCTTTCTCTTTTTCCTCTTAAATAAAATAAAATAAAAAAAAAATACTATTGCCACTGCTGTTTTTGCTACAGGTTAAGCGTCCCTAACCTGAAAATTGGAAATTTGAAATGTTCCAAATTCCAAAACTTTTTGAGTGTTGCCGTCACATCACAATGGAAAATTCCATAGTTTGAAGCTTTATTTATGCACACAATTGCTAAAATTATTGAATAAAATTAACGTCAGGATATGTGTATAAAGGTACATGAAACATAAAGTATATGCGTAACATTCATGTTTAGACTTGAGTCCCATATGCAACATATCTCATTCTTATGCTGATATTCCAAAATCTGAAAAACTCTGAAATCGGAAACACTTGTAGTTGCAAGCATTTTGAATAATGGGGACTCCATCTGCACTACTCTGTTACTATAACAATAATAGCTAACAAATACAGCCCACATTTGATCAATCCTTGTTGATCTCATTTAACACTTACCAGTAATCTTATAAGGGAATATTGTATTATCTCCATTTTTTTAGATGAACAAAATGAGATGCTGTTACTAAGATAGTAAATATGGTGGAGCTAGGATTCTTATTTAGGTCTGCAGACAGACCAACGTGGGCTTTAAATCCTAATGCTGTCCCTTATCCTCATTGTGTGAGGTAGGGCAAATTAATTTAACCTCTTCAGATCTCAGCTGCTTCCATTTGTAAAAGGGGGAGGGGAGACAACAGAACCCACACCAAAGGGATTATACACACATTCTACAAAATGTGCAACACAGCTGCTTCCTGGCAGCTGGTAAGCCTCTCTAAATATTAGGGGCTACTATTATTTTTATTATCTTTTCTGCCTTCCTTTTCTCTAATTAAAAAGAAAACCTTTAATGGTCTTATACTTTCCATGTTCAATAATGTATTTTTGACTGGAGATAAAATGTCATTTATTCTAGTTTATATCAAGAGGATGAATTTCATATGTGGGGCATACCTGGCACGGGATATTTCTTATACAAATATTTTCTTTAAGAATGAGAATAGGAGCAGAAATCCCCTGTAGACTCTAATTTACTTTCTAATCTTTATTTTAGTAACCCTTTCTCTTTCCTAAGTAACTCCTAATGATCTAGTAATGTGTTGCAGTGACAGCTGATGCCAGAGAAGGTGTCCTCTCTGGGCCTGACATTTTCCTTAATGGTAATTCTAGCTAGTTAAGGTAAACAATGTGAAATGTTTGGCATGTTTCCTTCCACAAATGATAGTAGAGAGAGGAAATTAGGAAAACCATTATAAAGACTGATATAGGGTAGCTTTGAAAATTTGTGACTACAGTATTTGCTGTTACAAAGGGAAATGATAGAGTTAAAAATCTAAGGTCCTTTTCCTTTGGGATGGTTGATAAACTGAAGGCATTTTCTGATTGTGCTTTACTTTAGATTCATAGCCTGGATGCTTTCACATTTAAAGAGCAAAGTTATGTATCATGCAGACATCGGGAAGACCTGCTAAGCTAGTTGGTACCTAAATATTGCAAGTAATCTTTGTAGCTTTATCTATGAAACCAAGTTTCTGCTGAATTTTCCATTTTGTTTTACTTTAGTAGTCAAATACTTGTGTGATATTTTCTACCTGAAGATAACCTAGGCAGGCATCTGATTTAGGATCACCAGTTTATAAGTTCTGGTATATTAAAAGCCCTCAGCTTAGTTAGTTCCCAGTAATGTTGCTTTGTTGAGTATCCCACACTAGCTTTGCAGAGTTTGCTTTTTTTTTTTTTCCATCACGTTTTTTTTACCTTCCATTTCATATGATACTGGGTCTCTTGGCATCTGTAACACATTTACAAAATTCATTTTGGAGGTTAGACTGACGTCAAAGACTGACCTCCTGAATTGTCCTCTAAATCGGAAAAGATGTGTTATGTGTTGGCTCATGGATTAAGATTCTTTGGTCTGAATGGCAGTTTGGAGAAGTCTGTCATACAGTATTTTGCTTGCAGTTATCTAAAAGTGGATATGCGATTGATTTGCTGACAGACTATCTCTGAAAGCAGTTCTAATGATGGACTTGTAATTGATTGCATCCATCATTGAGAGCCTAAAGTAACCCCCACCCTAAATTAAAAAAGATAAATGAAATAAACTAGGCTGGATGTATAAGCTGACAAATCTGAGGGAATTTAATGAAACTCTAAATTACCACAGCCAACAGATAAGAGGAAAAGGTTTCTTTGTTACTGATTATAATACTAAATTAAAAATTATCTAAGAAATATAATAGAGGAAACAAAGATCTGTAGCCCATGTATCAAACTAAGTTATTGAATGATTTTTAATAAATGTATCTATCTCATGCTGTGGTTATTGTTGATTCCTATCAATCTTGTTAGTGCTGTTTGAAGAATAGTAAGTGTAGGACTGTCTTGTGCTATAGGTTAGATTACTGATGTTACAACAGATTTTATAATTAATATGACCATATTTGCAGACAACAGGGGCTGTGTACCACATTCAGGGCTCTCCAATGAGCTCTTTGCCTCAGTTTCTGAGTAATATTATCATTAGTACGCTTTCAGCTACCTATAAAAGAAGACCAACTGAAAGTGACTTAAACAATGAATATTTGTTTTCTCCCCTAATAAGAAGTCTTGAGGTAGGGCAGCTTCAAGTCTGGCTGCCCAGTGATGTAACTGGTAAGTGGGCATTCCCCTCCATAGTTTTCCATGGCTGAAGTATTTGAGTGTTTCTGCTTTGTATAAAAATTTCTAGACTTGAGGAAGGGGAACTTTTCTCGTCTTTTTTTTTTTTTCTGTCTTTTTGAGACAGGTTTCAGTATGCAGTTCTGGGTAGCTTTGAACTCACTTTGTAGCCCAGGCTGGCCTTGAATTTGCAACAGTCCTCGTACCTTAGTCTACAGAGTGCTAAGATTACAGGTGTGCCACCATGCCTGGCACCTGTTACTCTTTTTGTAAAAAACTATTCCTAGAAGTTCCATTGAGCTCATTGGCATTGGCAGGAGGAATGGAATTACTAGGAGTTACTATGATTTACTCAGACATGTCAAAAACTGCCCAACTTCCCGAAAAGTTTATACCTGCCTGCTGTCCGATTAAAATCAGTTCTAAGGCCAAGTAAATAAGTGGAGGGAAGGGCTCCTTTGTTAGGCAACTAACAAACTAATTTTGATAGTCTACTGCAGTTTACTCTGAAGGTGATTTTATTTTTTCTGCTAGCAACATATAGTACTTTATTTCTTAGCTAGTAAGACGAATATGCTAGCTTACTGATGGAGTCAATTTTGTCTTGGTTACTTTTCTCTCAGTGTTGCTGAGACAACATAGCTGATGCCCAAAAGTTAAAGGGAAGAAAGGTTTATTTTGCTCACAGTTGGTAGAGTTTTCTGTTCATAATCAGCTGGCTCCAAGGCAAGGTGACTTGGCAGAAGGGCATCAAAATAGAGATAATTCATGGCACTCATAGGTATTAAAAGCAACAAGGGAAGATAGAGGCAAGCCTCTTTCTCTCCCTTATATTGTATCCAATCTACTGGGATTTGGGTAATGCCAATCCAATCAGTGGGCTGATCCAGCAGTTACCCTCCCTTAATCCCAGCCCCCTTAATCCCCCATTGTGGCACGAATCTTTGAAAAAACTATGACCACATGAGGCTTTGGAGGGACATCTAGATGCAAACCATAGTACCTTCTTATGCTTTGCTTTCTAGATTTCACTCTGGTTGATATATTCTCTATCTTCATCAGGACTCTGTCCACTAGTGATGATGTGGAAGACAGAGAGAATGAGAAGGGCCGCCTTGAGGAAGCCTATGAGAAGTGTGACCGTGACCTCGATGAGCTTATAGTGCAGCACTACACAGAGTTGACAACAGCCATTCGCACCTACCAGAGCATCACCGAACGCATCACTAACTCCCGGAACAAAATAAAGCAGGTGAGCCTCTTTTCATCTGGTGATTGTGGCTAGTGCAGGTGTGGCTTGGAGAGGCACCATGGTGCTAGGAGATAATCCTCAAAGGTGGCTCATCATGACAGCCAGGTGTTGTGAACACAGAGCCCATCCTGGGCTTGCTGCTGCTTCTGCAGTATGTGTCATCCTTGGGTTTCAGTTACTTCTCATTGCAGAGCAAAATAGTCTCAACTTGAGGAAGACTGACAGGAATCTGAATTGATGGGGGAGAACTGTTTACTATTAGAGGCTCCATCGCAGTGTGGCAAGTATATTTAATGTGCTCACAGCTCCTCTTTTATCTGAATAGGCATATTACCATAGCAGTTAAAATATTTTTTCTTTTTAAGTTTGGCTTTGAGTATGTCATGTCATACTCAAAGCCAAACTTAAAAATTTGGTTGTGATTTTGCTACAATCATTGTGTATTCTGGTATTTTTTGTAAAGAAACTCTGACATGTAAATTATTTAAACATATGATGAAATGTTCATAAAATTCTTGAGTATGTTTTTCATGATGAGCTTGTCTTGTTATTTTGCAACTTTCTAGTCATGCTTTAGAGCTCTTTCTCCTCTCCCTCTCTCCCCTCCTTTCCCTTTCTCCCTTCTCTCTCTGTCTCTCTCCCTCTCCCTGTCTTCCTCTCTTTCTCCCTCTCTTACTCTATCCTTTTCTTCCTCTCTCCTCTCCCTCTCTCCCTTCTTTCTGTTTGCCTTCCTGTTTAACTTTCCCCTTTTCCTTTTGTGGTATGTCTTTGGTTCTAGGGCAATAAAACTTTAGTACATAAAGGGTAAAGTGGACTTTTAAGGGTTATATTTGTCCAAGAAATGATGAACTGATAAAATAAGACATGTATTGTTACATTGTGTTTATGTAATTCTCGACTGTATATTTTGATGTCATTCTTTTAATAATTTTTATGTAATTCTTTTATTTTAAAGAGGATAAAACAGAATAAAATCAATCAAAACAAAACAGTGTAAGAGACACAGGACGTCAGAACATTACCAAATCAATAATAGTTACCATAATGCCTTTTAATATCTTCAAAATAGCTGCAGATAACTTCGGACATAGTAAAAATCAAACAGAACAGAATAGGATAGAAATAATAAAAAAACCCCAATGAATGCAATGAATGATTTCAGAGCAAGCAGTAAATCCCAAATTGCTACCATAATATATCTTGCTATCTTTGAAATAGCTTCTCCTGCTATTGGATTTAGCATAATCAAACAAAACACAAGAGAATAAAACCCAAACCAACAAAACAATGGAAACGATATTTCCTATGGTCTTTCTTCAAAACAAGACCATAGGAAATCAACAATGGCTACAACCCTCAGAAGGAGATCCTAGCTAGATGTCACACTGTGTACCACTATCCTCTGAATCTATGATCAGACCACTGGCCCTAGACCTGCTATTTAGTGAAACATCAAAGCACCACAAGCATCCAATTGCTTTTTACCTTGATAGCTATCACCACAGCCTGTGTTTCTCTGGATAAGTCAGTTGCTTACTGAGGGTGGGGTGGGGCAGGGATTGGTACATCTTGTATTGCTAGCCACACACGGGAAGGGGCTGGGGTCTGGCTTTTCCCAGTCCAGTGGTGCTCTGTGCATGGCACTGGTTCCTAGACTGGACTTATTTGCTGGCGTGGCCTTGTTCTTTCTCCCCCCAGTCTGTGAATGACATGTAATTTTTTATAGATAAAGTAATTGCTACTGTATTGAACACGTATTCCTTTGCAGGCATGATTGTATTTATTCTCTCAACAAATTTAAATTTGAACTCTGGTCTTCTTGACTCTGAAGTCTTTAGTGCTGGATTTTGGCATTTAAAGAGGGTAACCCCAATGTATGAAACATTAAGATAGGAAGTGCTTTTTGTTTGTTGGTATTAGGGTGAGGGGTCTAAATCATCATGTGGGTGCTCTCCTTACACTTGGCAGTTGCCTTCTTTATTTCTCCTGGGGGGCTACAGACTGCACTGTCCTGTGCTATGAGATTGGTAGGGGACTCCTTGGCCAGTGCCTGCCTAGAAATGGCTATGGTTGTGGCATCCTAAATGTTTTATTTTGTATCCTCTGGACCTTAAATTACGATTTTATAAGCAAATACATAAGTTATGCTTCTAAGAGTACTATCGATACATGATCTTCACTCTCAAGAAACTAGTTCCAGGACCAGTAAGCTTTTTACGTTTTTGGAGGCATGCACTGTCCTCTTTACATTTTAAAAATAACTGCTTGTAAAATGGTGACTTCATCCTATGGATTTATCTATGAAACTAGGTAAAGCTGTAGATTAGTTCCAATATACTGAGTTTAAGAGGAGTCAGAAAATGAATGTATAGAGCTGCTGACCTTCTGGCTTTGCCTTGGGTAATCATAGTGAAGGTGAAGGACCTTTTGGTGTTTGTGTTTTCTGATTAGTGTGGTTAACTGAAAAGACTTTGTCCTAATCTCCAGGGAAGCACCAGCACTGATTTCTGCTTTGCTTCCTGCCAGTCTGAGTCGATAGCATCTTTGCTGCAAACAAAAAAATGCTCACCTGGTACTGAAAAAAGAGGACCTCTTTGTGGGAACTGCACATTTGTTTTAGTCATGCTACTTTTCTTACCTTCCTCATTTTCAGACTGTGAAGATTCTGAGCAAAAGAAAACAAACAAACGAAACCTTTATTACATCAGACAGTGGCAAGAAAGTAAATGTCACATAATTCAGTCTTCTGACTTGGTTTCAGTATTGGGAAGAGAAATAAAGAGCTATAGCTCTTTGCAAAAAAACCTTTAATAATTGATTACTAGGAGGAGGAAAATATTGGGAATATGTTTTTATTGCATAATTTGACAGTTTTATACCATGAAGGTCCATTTCTTATCATCAAGGAAACACTGATATTTCCTCACTAATTTTTCCTTGTTGCTTTTTTGGTTTTTAATTGTACTTTGGATTCCATACAAAATATAGATATTTATTTTTTAAAATAAAAATGTGGGGGATTCAGTCATCTTTGGGCTACATTATTTTAGAGCCAACACGATGTTGAAGGTGTATAGAACTGAATTGAAGTGTTTTTTCTGTTCTCTACCAAAAGAATATATGGAGAATTTGTTAAATAAATATTTGTTGAATTCCTGATACTATTTTAGGTTCTGGGACTTGGAAAACACCAGTCCCTGTCCTCACGGGGCTTATACATGAGTGAGAAAAGAGAAAGACAGATAATATTTACTAAAACTGAATCTCTGTATTTTGAGTGTCAGTTTTGTGCTAAAAGTAATTTTCTAGACTCTAGTGTGTAAAAGGAAAGAAAACAGACAAAAATTGCAGTCTTTGTGGAGTTTATATTTTAAGCTACATTCTGATCAGGAGGGAGAGACTATAGACTAATAAATAAGCAAACAGATGGAATAACAGTTGATAAAATGTGTTATGAAAAACAAAACAAATAAACAAAAACACAAGAAAGCAAGGAAAGGAGACTCAAGAGTTGCTCTTTTAATTAGGTTTGTCAGGGAAAGCTCTACTGAGGTTGCCAGTGTGCCAAACCTGAAGGAGGTGGGGTCAGGAAGGCCACTCCAAAAAGTAAGGCTGGAAAGGGCAGAGATCCTGAGGCAGTGATGATTAGAAGTTTGAGAAGCAACAAGGAGGTGAGCAGGGCTGGAGTACAGTGAGGAGTGGGGATAGTGGGAGGTATGGTGCAATGGGCTGGGACATGTACTGTATTATAGGTCGCTTTCTTACTGAGCTACTCAGTGCTGAGGCAGATTGCTACACTCCCACAATTTAAAAGAGAGATTTATTTTTGGTTTACAGTTTTGTAAAGGTTGTTTTCTTTCTTTTTTTTTTTTTTTTTGGTCTTTTTTGTTTTTTGGGGATCGAACTCACGACTGCCTGCTTGCAAAGCAGGCGCTTATGCTGCTAAGCTAAACCCCCAGCCCCTGTAGAGGTTGTTTTCCACAGTTTTCTGGCTCCAGGGCAGGATGGCATGGCAGAGGGGCATTGGAGGAGAGTTGCTCATGGCGAGGCAGCTAGAAGCACAGAGAGATAGAAGGAGAGGAGTGATATGTCCTTCCTGGCCACGCTCAGAGTGACAAACCTCTTCCCATCAGGTTCCGCCTCCTAGCATCATACCCAGCTATAAATCCATCAGTGGACTAATCCAGTGATGAGTATCACACCACCAGGGTCCAGATGACACCCCCCACCTATGAGGTGTGAGGCTTTGAGGGGACTTCTAGATATAAACACAACAGTTACTCAGGACTCTGAGTTTTGAGTAGGACGGGAAATCACTGAAAAGTCATGAACGTAGAATGACATAATGTTACTTAATATTTTAAAATGCCTTCTCTAAATTTTCAGCTAGGAGTTGATCAGTGGGGGAGCAGGATGGATGAATATATTCATATATATGCATGGCCCCTTTCTAAAGTATAAGACCACAGAACTGTTTGTACTTCCCACTTTTTATATCACTTTCATATATTGATTTATGTTATATTGGCAGAATCTATGTCCTTGAGATAAATGAGAGATAAAAGGTGGTTTTGATTTATTTCCCAAATGGCCAAACGTTTTTATATTGGTGAATTCAATTTTGAATTTTTTATATAATAAAAAATGTACAAGTAAAATAGCATATATGATTGATAAAGTCTGGAAATGTGATTAATAAATAAAACACTTTGGTGATTGTTACTTTGAGTGCATTGTAAAATTGGTCAAAATGAGGTATTATAGCATTAAGAATCCTTAAAAACCCATGAATTCTGCCAGTGTCTTTAGTAATGACTGTCTGTTATAGTAGGAACATCAAAATAGATGAATGTAGGTTGGAGACTTGGGCCATAGAGGACATACTTCTTGGTATTTGAATTTGAGTATTTTTCTGTGTTATACTAGCTAGAGAGATGGTGTCAGATTTCTTTAAAGATACTAAGTACTCTAGTAAGTCTAATGCTCTTTGCAGGAACAGG